GTGCCGCATACGGGCCTAACTACACGGTGTACAGGGTCCTGAACGATCCTTATTAAGATGTCGGAATGCTGTTCTGGGGTTTGCTAGGCGCCCATATGCTGCAGCAGTTATTTGATTGATGTGTGCTTCAGGAGATGTGCCTGGTGTTATACCACCCCAAGATCTTTTTCCTTGAGTGAGGTTTGTAGTCTCTGTCCCCCTAACTGTACTCCGTCGCGGTCTTTTTTTGCCCTTCCCCCCAAACTTCATGACTTTGCACTTGGTGGATTGAACTCCAGGAGCCAATTGCTGGATCAGGTCTGCAGCCTGTCCAGATCCCTTTGTAGTTCTGCCTGGTCTTCGATCGAGTGAATTCTTTTTTTTTTTTTTTTTTTTTTTTTTTTTTTTTGTGTGTGTGTGTGTGTTTGTGTGTGTGTGTGTGTGTGTTGTGTGTGTGTGTGTGTGGGGTGTGTGGTGTGTGCATGCTTGCTTCTAAATGTGCTGATCAGGGTCCAGCAGCTGTCAAAATGACATATCATATAATTACCCCACTCCCCCTACAGCCTGTCAACACAAAGGGGCGCGATGCTCGCTTCCCCACGATCCATTCTAGCTAATTATCATTCTATTTCTCCTTCTTTCTTCTTCTTTCTCCTTTCTTCTTTCTCCTTCTTTCTCTTTTTCTTTCTTTCTTCTTCTTTCTTTTCCCTTCTTTCTCTTTTTTTTCTATTTTCTCTTTTTTTTATACTCATTCTTTTTTCTTTCTTTCTCTTTCTTTCTCTTTCTTTCTCCTTCTTTCTCTTTCTTTCTCTTTCTTCCTCCTTCTTTCTCCTTCTTTCTCTCTCTTTCTCCTTCTTTCTCTTTAATTCTATCTTATGGTATCCTGGGCATTGCTTTCAGTCACAAACTAATCAAAACCATGAAATCGATCTTCACTGACACTTCCATCTATGTCAGAGCAATCACTTTGGAAGAGAAGAGTCCCAGATTCACCGGGGAGTCACATATTTCTTACCGCTAGGCATGCTGAACAAGGACTACTGAAATGGCATTCCCACAATGCACCACTGGCTCCCCGATTTTTTTTATAGTGCGCACATTGACCACTGAGACCCATTCTCTCACATATGGGCCTATCAGCTTTCTCCTGCTTGATCTGAAGGTGCTAGAATTTATGCGTATTAATCTGTCAGAAACATTGGCTCGTAAGACATATATATACAGCCAAAACAGTCAAAGGGGTAAGTACAAAGAAAACCACTTACATACATGTGCATTTTGGGCAGGCATATATGAATGTATACACACTGCTTAAGGCTAGACATAATAAATAAGTTTATTCAGGTACAGGTACACATCAGTACTCTTTCAACACACCGGTTGTATCCAAACGAAGCGTGGTGGCCCAAAAGGAAAAGTGAAAGTTTCTCCTTTTACATTTAGTAATATATACATGAAAAGGGGTTACTAGACCCTTGCTCCTGGCATTTTAGTTGCCTCTTACGACACACATGGCTTACGGAGGAAGAATTCCGTTCCACTTCCACATGGAAAACACATCATACAGTTTATAATTATCATAAAAACCATATTTAATCACCCAGGATAACCCCAAAAAGTCAGTCAAAGTGATTTATTTCCATTGGGGTCCTTGTAATAACTTATTATTTAAACATTAAAAGTTAAAACAGCTAAGTAACCAACTGTGGAAAATCAGTTAAAAAAAAGTTTTTTTTTTTTTAACACGTCGTCGTCTCCCACTGAGGCAGGGTGCCAAAAAAAGAAAAAAAATCCCAAAAAAAAAAATACTTTCACTCATTAAACACTTTCACCCACTCATACATAATCATTTTTGAAGGGGTACCAATACAACATTCAGAAGTCCCTCCAAACGCCAATATCCCAACCCCCCCTTTTAAATTGGGGGCATTGTATTTCCCATTTCCATACTCAAGTCTGGCTATATAAAAATAACCGGTTTCCCTGAATCCCTTCTTAAATATTACCCTGCCCTTCCAACAACTCGTCAGGCCCCCAAAAACCATTTTTTTTTTTCCCTTCACTCCCATCAACAGCTCACACATGCTTTCGGAAATCCAAGCCCTTCCCCCAGAACCTCCTTTACCCCCCCCTCCAACTTTTTTTTGGACGACCCCTACCCCCCTTCCTTTTTCCCACAATTTTTGTGCCCCCAAGTCATTCTACTTTGATCCCTTTTTCTAAATGACCAAACCACCTCACAACCCTCTTCGCTCTCCAACTAATACAGGGACCCCCGAGTTTTTGGGAGCCCCGACTTTTCGCGAAATTCGACCTTTGGGATCTTTTTTGGGAAAAAATTTGGCCTCGAGTTTCGTGAAAAAAATCTTTTCAGGACCACTGGTACCAAACCGCCCCTCACCACGCACACAAAACCCGTCTCCCCTCATTCACGCTGAGTGTGCCAAGTTTACCAACCGGACCATCACCCCCCGGTTCATACAATCATTTTTTTAAAAAATCCATTTCTTTTTTTTTGCTTTCAACTGCAAAATAAATCATCATGGACCCAAGGAAAGCTAGTGCAACCCTTTGAAAAAAAATTAGTGCGGGGATGTGGAAGATTGGTGGAGGGCTACAGGGAAAGCTAACCATGACGAACCAAGAGCTTCAAACTGGGAAAAGCATCAACCACAGCCAGGAACTGCTTCAGAGGGGAGGAAGAGGAGGGATAAGTGCCTTCTCATTGATTAAGGGCATGTGTGGGGAAAGGGAAAGAATTGAAAAATTTTTTTTGAAAAGTATCACCCCGACCAAACTAAACAAGCCGACTGCAACATTTTAAATGACATGTTGTGTCCCATTCAGGGGAAACTTAAAGAAATGCCAGAAAAAGACCTCTCTGGAAATATTTTTTGGCCCAGGGGTCCCCATGACTCTCAAGTTTTTCCCCCTGGAATTTAAAAAAAGAAGGAAGTAACCCCCAAAAGGCTTGCTACCTTAAGCCTAATGGAAGGAGTTTTCTCCTTCCAAACAATAGTGTAACCCCTTCCCCACACCTCCTCCCCCCTTCCCATCCCCACCCGAAGTCTTCAAAAGGTAAGTAAAATGTTGTTATATTTTTTTATTTTAAATGCATGTACTTGATTTCTGATTTTTTCATTATGTAAACCCTTTATTTAAATTTTGAAAAAATATTTTTTTATTTAAATTTTGGGGTGTCGGAACAAATTAAATTTTATCTCCATTATTTTTAGGGGGAAAAAGTTTCGAGTTTCTGAATTTCGCCCTTTCAGGGGGCCCCTTGGAACGGATTAATCACAAAAAACTCGGGGCCACTGTACTTTTAGAAACCCAACTCCGAATTCTCTGCAAAATATTTACCCTCATAAATTCTTTGTTAAAACCCACCCTTTTAAAACCCATCCACACAATCAACTTCAAATATCTGAAAACATTCATTTCTTCCATACTCCCTTTCACCAATGTGATACCCAATTTTTTCTAAATCATTTGTACCCTCATCACCTTTACTCTATCTATTTCATTTTTCAACTTTCTACCCCTCCCAAACCACAACAACCCTTTTGCAATTTTTTCTTTAGAACCTCCCATAAGTACAGTATCGTCTCAAAAATAACTGTTTCAACTCCCCTTTTATATTTATTCCCCATAATTTAATCCCCCCCCTCCCCAACACCCTAGCATTTACTTCTTTACAACCCCATCTATAAAATTATTAAACAACCATGGTGACAAACACACCCCGACTAAATCTACTTTTCCGGAAAATCTCCGTCTCTTTTACCACCCTAACCCAACCTCACATATTTTTAAAAAATCTTTACAGCATTTTGAACTTACTACCTATTCCTATACTCAACATCGCCCTATTGCTCCCCTTCCACTCTAACATATCCTTTTCTAAAAACCAAAAGCAAAAAACTTCCCAAACCTTTTATCTAAATGCTGTTCACAATATGCTTCAAAGAAACATTTGATCTACACATCGCCACCCCCCCTCTAAAACCTCCTTGCTCATCTCAAACCACCCTTGTCTTACCTCAATTCTTTCAATAATAACCCTACCGTACACTTTTTTTCCCGTATACCATAAACTTTCAGTGGAAACCTCAAATTTCGAAAATTAAACCATTCCAGGAGCTAGTTCAAATCGAAAAGTTTGAAAGGGAAAGCAGTTTTCCCCATAAGAAATACTGAAATACAATTAATCCATTTCCCGACACCCAAAAAAATTTTTCAAAAAAAAAAAAATTTTATGGGTAGTATTATATTAATTTTACAAACACACAAAAATTAATTACAAATTTTTAATAAATTTAATGACATATAAAATAACATTTTTACTTACCTTTTCGAAAATTTATGAGGCTCGGAAAAAATAGGGGGAAGGGGAAAAGGGAGTTGGGGTTAGTGTTTTGAAAGGGGGAAACCCCCCCTTTTGGCTTTAATATCAAAGCCCCCTCTGGGGGTTTCTTCCCCTCTCGTCTTTTAAAACCCTTTTT